CCCACTCTTGAGATGCTGAACTTGGCTAGAAATAACTGTAGGGTAATGCACTGAATGCAAGATCAGCTTGAACCGTAAGGTCAGTGGTTCAAATCCACCAGCTGCTCCTCAGAAACCCTATACAGGATTGCTATGGGTCAGAACTGACTTGATAGCACTTAACAACAACATTCCACTATAAATGTATCCTCTGGAACCAGCATAGGCTCTAGGCAGCTCTCAGATATTCTTGTTCTAGCCCAGTCTCTTTCTACACTGCATCTAACCCAGCAGCCGGTCCAATCCCCCTTGCACTCTAGTCTGCCAGCAGTGTTTTGTTATAGGAAGGCTCATACCCATTTGATGCATGAGATGGAACTGTGAACTGAATATCAAGTCAGAGTCATACACTCTACAAAAGGGCTTTGGAGAAACTCCTATTCCTCAGATGTGAAGATTGAGGCTCTTAGATATTACCACCCAGTCAGTGACAGATTTAGGGTGAGGACCCTATCAGAAGACCTAACTCCAAGCTGTGGGTTGCTGCTCCACCAGTCTTCCCATTAGCAGTGTGCTCACTAAGCGGATGTAGAATGTAGACTACAACTTCTTCCAGTCTTTCTCTAGAAGCCACAGGAAGACTTTACCTCTGTCTGTACTTTCCAGGTGTGTACCTGAGACTTCCCAGATAGTGGCCACCTTTCCTGGCTTTCCAGGGCCATCTTACTCCAAGAAAGGAAATGGGGTGCAGTCCATATAGCACACCCCTGTACACACAAAAGGGAGAGCTGGCTTTAAGGAGGCTCTACAAAACCACTGCAAGGCAGCCCAATTTCACGAGGAAGAAAGAAAGAATGCAGATCATGGAAAGGGAAGGAGACAAGGGAAGGGTCAGCACTGTATTGTCAGAAGACTTTTCCTTACCATCCAGAGGGAGGTTCAGAAATACAGGGAAATTATAAAAAGCTTCTCTGCATGTGGAACAAAGCTCAAAATTATTTAAAAATACAAAAAGAGGCTTACTGGTCTGAAAAAGACTGGAGGAACCAAAGACTATGGCCCTTGACTACCCTTCAAATCTGGAATGGACTCACCCTCATGGCACAATTTTCACCCAAGTGGTAGATAGGTATATAGGGATGACAGTACTAGTAAGGTGTGCTCACCATTCAAGATCAAAGGGTCAACTACCTAAGAACAAATTCAGAAGGGTTGGGAAGGAGAGTGGATTGGAAATAGGAACCACAGGGAGCAAGTTGGATAACTGTTGTTACATGCAGGAGTTTGCAATCATTAAGATAAAACAGTGTTGAATGTAAAACTGATGATCTGCTCTATAAACCATCACTCAATGCATAATAAAAAGTTCTGTTTTGTTTTTGTCTCTGTTCTTGAGTGAGGACAGATCACCGCACTCCAAGTCATCTTGTTCTTTGTAGTGTCCTTGGGACCCCTGGAAAGGTGTGGGAGCCTGGTCACCAGAAGGCCATGCTGAGAGAAAGTGACACACCTGCAGGGCGGGACTGCAGTCACCACGCGTCTACCTGAAGAGTGTGGTGGATCCGCAGTATAAGCACTGGACTGTTAACCACAAGTTTGACAATTCAAGCCCACCAACCACTCCTCAAGAAGAATATTAAACTTTCTGCTTCCATAAATATTTACAGCCTCGAAAACCTTACACAAGGTTGCTGAGTAGGAACCAACTCAAAAGCACTTAATAACAACAACACTGTAGGACACGGAGCTGTACAGGGAGGAGCATCCAAAGATTATCTTAATTAATCATGGGCAGACCCAAGCAGGCCTGGGATGGTTGAGGGTAAGATAAAGGCCCGCTACCACCTGGCATTAACAACCTGCGATATGCAGATGATACAACCTTGATCGCTGAAAGTGAAGAGGACTTGAAACATTTACTTATGAAGATTAAAGAGCACAGCCTTCGATATGGATTACATCTCAATGTCAAGAAAACAAAAATCCTCACCACTGGACCAATAAACAACATTCTTATCAATGGAGAAAGGATTGAAGTTGTCAAGGACTTCATTCTTCTTGGATCAACTATCAACACTCGCGGAAGTAGCAGTCAAGAGATCAGACGACATATTGCACTGGGCAAATCTGCTGCACAGGAACTTTTTAAAGTATTGAAGAGCAGAGATGTCAGCTTGAGGACTAGGGTGCGCCTGACCCAGGCCATTGTGTTTTCAATAGCCTCATATGGATGCGAAAGCTGGACAGTGAATAAAGAAGATCGTAGACGAATTGATGCCTTTGAGTTGTGGTGTTGGAGGAGAATACTGAGGGTGCCATGGACTGCCAAAAGAACCAATAGATCTGTTTTGGAAGAAGTGCAGCCAGAGTGCTCCTTGGAGGCCAGGATGGCTAAGCTTCGTCTCTCCTACTTTGGACATGTAGTCCGGAGGAAACAATCGTTGGAGAAGGATGTCATGCTGGGTAGGGTGGAGGGTCAGAGAAAAAGAGGAAGACCTCCAACGAGATGGATCGGCCAGGTGGCATCATTGATGGACTCGGGGGTGGCAGCGGTGGTGAGGTTGGCCCAGGATCGAGCATTGTTTCGTTCTGCTGTGCATGGGGTCGCTATGAGTCGGTTCCGACTCGATGGCACCTGACAACAACAACAACAACCACAACCTGGCATGGAAATACACCCATCAATAAGCCTATCAGGCTGTTTCAATTTAGTTGGGAGGTGGCTTCTTTATGACACCCACTTCCAAAGGAGTAGCAGAAAAGAGTTTAATGAAGGAATTGAAATGTGTGGAAGATTAGAGGAACCAATAAGAGGCAGTGAGTGAAGCAGCTGGGGACTAGCACAAGCAGCTCCTAGGCTATGAGTGGAAGCCAGCTGGAGTTGTGTGGGGAGCTGTGGGACACTGCCTAACAGGAGCTGTGGCCTTCAGTAGGAGACACAGCCACTGCCCATCACAGTGGAGCCGTCAGGAAAACACCTGGCCTCCCTCAGACCTCTCACCTCCAGTAGGAAGCCTGAGGCAGAGAACCAATGATGCAGGATAGAGGTCAGCCTCCCTGGGTATAGAGCAAGACCAAGGAAGGGAGAGTGAACATGTAGTGGGGAAGGGGGAGCAAAATATAATATTCAGATACTGTTCTTCTTCATCACTGTGTCTGCATATTTGTCAAGGAGTCCAGAAACATGCTTATACCCTTCTTCATTAGAATTAGTCCTATCTGTTCAGATTTTAGACTTTCCATTGAAAGATCGTTTCCTAGAGCTGCATTAACAAACACCACAAAATGGCTTAAACAACAGAAATTTATTCTCTCAAGTACTAGAAGCTAGAAGTCCAAATCCAGAATGTCAGCAAAACCATGTTCTGTCTGAAGCCTCTAAGGGAAGAGTCTTCCTTGTCTCTCAGTTTCTAGTAGCCCTGGGCATTCCTTGGCTTGTGACATCATCACTCCCTCTGTGCCTTCATCTTCACATGGCTGGCTTCTTTCTGCATCTCTCTGGCTCTGTGTCTTTTCTCCTCTTCTTATAAGGACAATAGTCAATTGGATTAGGGCCTACTCTATTCCAGTGTGACCTCATATTAACTGATCATATCTGCAAAGACTTTATTTCAAAATAAGGTCACCTTCACAGGTATCAGGAATTAAAACTTCAGCATATCTTTTATATCTTTGGCAGGGGCACGCTCAAACCATAACAGATAGCATTCCAGCAACCCTAATTTTTAATGAGTTTAATTTATTATGATTAAACCTCCTCCAGCCCATTGGAGTCCATGTTCCTCTGTATGATATTGATGCTTTGCTTATGCATCTGCTTACCCTGACTTCATTTCTCATTGTCTCAATGAGGTCTACCTTGACCACCTTCTCCCGATCTCCAAAACCCCTCACTCTATTCTTCATCTTTTTCCTTTTGTATATATATATCTACTAGCATATCATATCATTTCCCTTTTGAGGATGTTTGTTTTTTGTATGGTTAAATACAATAAACAGCGTACACTCTGTAAGGCAGAGGTCTTTGTTCACTGTTGTTTGCTGTTGTACCCTAAGGTCCTAGAATTGTGCTTGGAGTAGAATGATATTCAAAAAATGTGTTGAATGAATGCACCCTATCTCATTTATTAATAAGTATTTTACTTGAATATGGCCCTCTTTTTAAAAATTATCTATATGACATCAGAATAACAGCAGTAAGTCTAAGCATGGATGAAAAGTTTAGGGGGGCACTGAATCTAACTGAAAAGCAGTAAAATAACTTGGGTAGAGTTATCGAGAATGATGACATAACATGAAGAATATAACCTGTCAACGAAATGTGCACAGATAAATTGTTGAATGGTTTCTGTTTTGCTGTGTACATTTTCTCCAAAAATAAAATAAATGCTAAAAATACATAATAATAATAATTACTAGCTAGAGAGCTCCAAGGAGAATGCCAGAATCCCTCCACCTCCTTCTGCCACCCCCTATAGCCTTGCTTAACCTCTTCCAGATCCAGCTCAGAGAATGCAGCAAAAAGCCTCCTGTGAAACAACCCGCTCACATCACCACCACCACTGGTTTGTGTTGGGCTCAGGGCAGCAAAAGAAAGCAGGAGACAGGCAAGGTTCTATCCTGTCATGCTCCACCTTTGCCAGAAGTTCCCATACTTGAAGATAAATTTGAGTTTATTTTAGGAAAGAAATTCTTAAAGCACAAATTACAGAGAGAAGGAGACCGGATCATTCAGAAGCTTGGTCTTCTCATAAGGTGCCTCCAATCCAACAGTCCGTAAGCTCCACAGTCTCAGCCCCACACCAAACTGATCAGGTCATACAGTCACTAGATCTACAATAGTCAGACAATGGGGTCCTACTGAAGAATTTTTTTTCTTCCTCAAGCCTGGCAGGAACAAGCCCCTAAATTGCTTGCCTGGCATTTTTGAGCTAACATTCTAGCATCACACTCTGTCTCCAGTAACATCCTAGACCACCCATCCTCAGGCCTAGACCACAACTCCACAGCCCCCAGCCTCCTCAGAGCCGAGGGGAAAAGCCAGCCACTAAGATGTTTTCTCCAGTGATGTAGCTGGCATCCGGGGAGCACAGGAAGGACACAATTCCTGCACAGTCCTCTGGCTGCCCGATCCTGGATGGAAGAGAAGAACACAGCACTAGTGATCCTAAACTGTGGTTTGCAGGAGCCAGCGAACCCTTCACCCCCACTTCCCCCATCTCTGAATTTCTAGACCACACAGGTCACAGATGGGGTGGGTCACAAGTACCCTCCAGGACTGTGTTAACCCCCAACTTCAGCAAAAGCAATGGGAGGACGTCTGCTTTAAGATAAGCACCGACTCCTCTCCCCAACTGTATCCAGATCATCAAAGTGTCAAACCCCACTTGCCTCTTCAGCTGATGTTTATTCTTAAACTGTGTCCAGAAAGTCTCATTGGTGTGGAGCTGGACAAAGGGAAGAAATGAAAGATTCAGTACAGTTAAAACAGAGGCCACCTGTCCAAGCAGCCATGACAGGTTTGCCTTTCTCAGAAGTGCCATGTTCTCAGGGCTGACTGACTGGGTGAGGTTGAGTTCAGAAGAAAGTGAGACTCTCAGCACTAAAGATGCTGCTCTGGGGCTTCAGTCACCCCTTGATGTTACTCATTTGGGAGGAACAGGGGAAGACCTTAATCCTCACTATTTTGCTGAACTCAGTCTTGATCACTCCTGGAGCAATACAATTCACCCGGATGTCCCTCAGAGTCAGCTCCACTGCCAGTGCTTTGGTGAGACCCAGCAGGGCCGTCTTACTGACATTGTAGGCACCCAGTTCCTGGGAAGGGAATAAAGAGCATGTTAGAATCAGGGGCAGTAGAAGGAATGACAAAGTGTCACTTGTATTTCTAAGAGTGTGTCTGAGGCCTTTATACTCACCTACAGGTGTTTGCATATACCTGTCCCAACTTCAGAGGTCAGACATACTCTCCCCCAGCCTTGTCGAGGAACAGTAGCTAGCTCTGAGGGAGCCACGTGACACAAGCCCATCCCAGGGCAGCAGGAGTAAAGCAGGGATCTGTGCTGGACACTGTCCCTGTGGAGCCCTTCGCCTTATCCCAACTAGAGGCACAAGATCCAAATGCTTACCACTAATGGCGAGTAAGCTGCAATGGAAGAGACCAGAACGACAGAACCACCTCTGTAAAGAGACAAACAAAGACAAGAGGAGATATCCTATTTATTGAGGTCCTATAAACCAATCATTAAATAATGCAAAACTCAGAACTACAAGGCAGGTCATATTATTATCCCCATTTCATAGCTGAGAAATCTGAAGCTTAGAGAGGCTATGTAACCAAACCCAAAACCCACTGCCTTCAAGTCAATTCTAACTCACAGACACCCTGTATAGTGTTTCTGAGCCTGTAAATCTTTACAGGAGCAGAAAGCCTCATCTCTCTTCCATGGAGGTGCTGGTGGGTTTAAACTGCAGATCTTTCAGTCTAGTGCTTATCCTACAGCACCACCAGGGCTCCTAGATTTAGTAACACAACCAACCAATAAATGGCAAATCTGAGTTCCAACCTAATCTCTAGGATCCTAAAGTTCATGTTCATACCATTATACTCTTCTGTCTCTCTGGGGAAGAGATAAACAGAAAATCAAAAGAGGACAAGGCTGGCTTGGTGACAAGGCACACAGGACTGAGGGTGAATGCTTGTCAGTGGGCAGTCTCCAATTAGCAGATGAGTCCAAAGGAGACAAGGAACAATAGCCAGGAAATTTTCTTCAACCCAGAACAGTCCCCAGACAGATTCTTAAGGTTGTATCTCTAAGGAGGAGCCCAAGGAGACACTATGTCCCATGGGAGGCAGTAACCCAAGTCCTTGACCTAAGACCTTAGGGAACACATGTGGAGCACAGTCAGGTTTGCAGGGTCTGGAGACCAAAATGCAGATAATTCGAAGGGTACTCAGCGACTTGTGGGTAAGGAGGATTAACCAGTCTGAGATAGGCCTCTCCTTTGGGGAAAAATGGTGCAAATCCTATCATAGATTACAGGTTGGTGAGGGGAGGTGCCCAGACATAAGGGGACCAGAGAATAGGTGAGGGTAAAAATGGCCAACCCACAATCTAAGCAATAACCCTTAGAAAGAGGTTGTAACCTCTTCCCAACTTGCTGATGTCAAGGCCAAGGAGAATGTGCCTGGGTCCCTGGAACATCACCCTCATCCTGCAACCACTGGAGTTCAAAGCCATAACTGCCCAAAAGCAAAGACAGGGCAGAAGGAGGGTGGAAATGTAGAGATCTCAAGAAGCCTTTCTGTCCTCCACCCCCTCCCAGCTATGCCACCATGAGCTCCAGATACAACACCAGTACCGCAGTTTCCCCAGGTTCCACCAGGCCCCATCCCACCCTGCATCCATACCCTCTCTTCTCCATGTGGGGCAGCAGAAGGCCTAGCAGCAGAGCCGGGGATTTCACATTTACCTCTAGGATCTGAAATCAGAGCAAGAGTATGAAAAGAGCAGAGAGAGACAGTCAGCCCAGGGCCAGTTCTCAAAAGACACTTGGAGTCCTACAATATATGCAACAAACCCAAATGTGAGCAGATTTGATGAGCTAAACCCTCTTCTTGTTGGAGCAAGGGGTATTTCCAAGCTGTTCATAATTTAACAGGCTTTGTTGTTGTTGTTGTTTTTAAGTGCCATCAAGTCAGTTCCGACCCATAACGACCCTGAATAGGGTTTCTAAGGAGCCGCTGGTGAGCTTGAACCACTGAGCTTTCAGTTCAAATGGCTTTGGTGCATTAACCCACAGCACCACACCAGGATGTGTACCAACTCATAGTGACCCTATGCACAACAGAACGAAGCACTGTACTGATTTAAAAGGCAGATAGGTTAAATGACAGACATGTCAGCCAAACTCTAAAAATGTGAATTGTTGATAACTGTGGGGAAAGGAAGAAAATGCGAAGTCTTTTGAAGAAACTAGACTATATTCTGGTTGTGTCAATAGAGGCTATAAGCAGAAGCCACGGGAAAGGGACTGAAGACAGAACAGATGGAGGGGAAGGAGGGGCTGGAAGCAAGAGAGATTTCTGGAAGAGTCACCTTTGTCTTTCTGTGTCTTTTTGTTTATGTTCTTGCCTTGTCCCAACAAAATTGAAGGCATATTCACAATACAACTGAATAAAACAAATCTAATAGGTACTATATGTGAAGAAACAGGGAATAGGAAAAGTAAGGGTAGAAAAATAAGAAGAAGCAAGAATGTGGTTAGTGGCCCATAGTTCACAGCACATGATAAGGACTGAATATTGTTCTATTATTTGTTCACAAAAGTGCATGCTGGGGAGCTGACAATGTGCCCGTGCGCTGCAGACTCCACTCAGAGCTTTCAAAGGCATCGCAAATAGTCATGGGAAAGTAGGTGACTATGCTCATCCTGCTGGTGACTACAGCCTAGGCCTGGACTCAAACAGAAGGGCCCTGACACTCAGTCTGGAATCTGGGGTTGACATCAGCCAGGGTGGTAACTCATGATGTTGTCCCCCTCCAATGGGCCTTCTCCTGTACCAGACCATAGAGTGGGGCTTCAAAGAGTTCCTGGAAAAATGGAATCTAAGAAAATGGAGTTTTTCCATGAACTTTTTGAGCCCCCTTGTACAGAGTCGTTGGTAGTGGCAGTGTGCCGTGGAATCAGTTTCTGACTCATAGCGACCCTGCATAGCGTTTCTGAGGCTGTAAATCTTTACTGGAGCAGAAAACCTCTTCTTACTCCCACGGAACAGCTGGTAGTCTCGAACTGCTGACCTTAAGATTCACAGCCTGACTCGTAACCTCATAGTGACCCTATGCACAACTACACAACCAGAGCTCCTTACAGAATCCTTAGTAATGTTTATTTTATCAGTTTTAATCATAGATGAATAGGTGATAAATATATAGTTGCAAATGGTTAAGTGTACTTTCTTAATGAATGTTAGCAACAAAATTGTTTTGTAAAATCTACATTAAATTACATTATTGTTGTTGTTAAGCACCGTCAAATCAGTTCCAACTCATGGTGACCCTGTATAGGTTTCCAAGTAACATTTGGTGAGCTTGAACCGCCGACCTTGTGGTTCAAACCAACTTTGCAGTCCAGTGCATTAACCCACAGTACCACACCAGGACTCCTTAAATTACATTAGTTACAAAGTCACTAGTAACTAAGCAGAAGGTTTTTGATTTTTCTCCTGCTTTTCCTTTCATTATTACCTCATTCACCAAAACATTATTGATACAGGTTCACAAATACTAATTACCACAATACTGTAGTTCCAACACCAGAAATTTTCACAAGATCAGCAACTATGAAAAAAAAAAGTCAGCAACGAACGTGATTCAAAGCATCATTGTAATTGGGTAATAATGGCCACTCTCAAAGCACATTGTTGTTGTTACCATTGAGTTGGTTCCAATACATAGTGACTCTGTGTAGAGTATCTGAGACTTTAAATCTTCACTGGAGCAGGAAACCTCCTCATCTTTCTCCCATGGAGTACCTAGCGGGCTCGAACTGCACACCTTCAGGTTCACAGTCCACTGCTTATCATATGGAGCCTCCATGCTCCAGAGCACAATGTTGCTGTTGTTAAGTACCATCAAGTCAGTTCTGACTCACAGCAACCCTGTATAGGGTTTCCAAAGAGTGGCTAGTGAGTTTGAACCGCCGACCTTGCAGTCCAGTGCTTTATCCCACAGCTCCACACCAGGAATCCATTAGAAGGTTCAAAAAGTAACTTAGCATAGTTTTAGCCTTGTCTACACATTGATATATGTAAACTAAGTTTATAAAAAAAAGTTTTCGTTATAACTAATTACAGGATCTTTTCATTAAAAAAACAATGACTTTCTCACTTGTAGATAATACCCACTTGACCTAGCTTCAATGACTGGATGATCAGAGCTCAACTAGAAGAAGAAAAAAGAGAAAAAAAAGAATAATCTGATACAATTTGATGAACTTGACCTATACCTATGGATGCAGTAGCTCCAAAGAGGGAAAAATCTTCACAGCAAGGCTCATTCCACCCCACACAGAGAGAGAGAGAGAGAGAGAGAGAGAGAGAGAGAGAGAGAGAGAGAGGACAGGGATGGGCAACTTGAACATTGGCTACCCAGAATTGGGGAGCTACAGAGGCAAGAAGTGACTGGCTTACAAGCTTTCAAGAGGGAACCTAGAGCCAGAAGGCATGGAGCAAGGTAGAATCTCCACTGAGTAGTATCCAATCTGTCTAGGTGGGGCTGATGAAAGAAGATGAGGATAGGTCTCTTGTGATACAATAGTGAATAATTGTTATCAGAACTGATTGTAAGGGCTGGAAATGTAAAGGTAGACGTTTTGTGGCAAAGGGAGAGGAGTGATTAACTTTTCAGTCTAGGAGCAGAGGTCCCTGGGACCATCAAGAGAGAAGAATGGAGAATGGAACCCTACCCAGAGAAGCAGTGATGCCAGAGATGGAGGCAGAGACGATGACGTGGAGAGATGGAGCGGCTGGGGACTTTGGACCCATAGAGAGAGAGGGGCTGTGTGCTGACGAGTGGGAGGCAGGCTTGCAGGGTATACCCTGTGGTTGGTGGATGATGCATGGAGGGGATTATAACCATGACAAGGAAACAATATACGATGGGATCAATGTGAAGCTAATGTTCTCCCATGTAAACTATCACATAATTTACAATAAAATATTTTAAAATAAATAAATAAAAAGTTAAATAAAAAAATAAATAATGAATTTCTGTTGAAGCACCGCACAGTTATTTTATAGACAGTCATATTGATATCACTCCTCTAACAGTGTCACCAAGAGTGGTCCACACCCCCAACTCCCACACTCTCCTAGTGACACCACTGATCTGGGAATAGCAGAGAACCAAGAGAGGAGCTAGCAGGAAGGCTACAGGGGCTGAACCCAGGGGCTTGGATAGAGTACCACCTGGGACTAGAGTCACTAGGGACCCTCCTGTGGGTCCTGGTAAGGGAAGGTCTTTAACGAGGTCAGTTGTGTCCTGCTTCTCTAGCAATTTGGCTGCCTATCTGTAACTGATCAAGCGTGTCCTCAGCTTTTCCATCCTACCACCTCTTCTTCCCATATTTACTCACCACCTTGGTTAGGAAATGCTTCAGCTGAGCTGCTATGAACCATTTCATGACCAGTATTGGGGATTACCCCCAAGACTACAAGAAATGACTAGGATGCCCAAATAGGAGAACACTATGGAATCACCAATATGAAGGAATTGAGGGTTATACTAAGGGCTCCTTGATCACTTTTCAAAACAAATCTCCACCAGCCTGCAGGATGTGAGTCCAAACCTCTGTGTGTGTCGGACTGGGTAATGAGAAAAGGCTACTCCAAGACTCAGGGGCCAAATATGAACTGTGCCACGAGAAAAGTGAAATGCTTTCCCTGGGTGGAAAATGACCCTATTAGGAAGGCAGGCGGAGGAGTTCTGTGTGCTGAGAAGTCCTGAGTGGGGCTCCATGAGACTAAAGAAAGGTACAGAGAGGCCTTGGATAAAGAAGAGGGCTGAGGAGGTGGGGCTGTATAATTAGACTAGAGATGTCTCAACCAGCTGAAGAGAATGGGATTCTGCCTGGCAAAGATCTCAAAGCTGGTCCAAGGATAACCTGAGTAACAAGAAAGTCCCTTCACAGGACACCCGCTAACAATTGCATCTAGTTTAAAAAAAAGAAGCATCTGATAAATTCTAAACTCATTTTGTGACAATTTTGCCTTTGAGGTGATGGCAGATGAGATTGGGGGACAATTACCCTATCATCTATTTCCATCCAGTGATGCAGAATTGCTTGCTGAGCACCAACTCCTTGGAGAATAGGTAGGGGACCAGAGAAAGCAAGGTTGGTGCTATTAGTGTGTGCCTCTGGGTCCAGGAGGAGGAAGGATTTTAAAGTGTTCCAAGAAAAAGAGTCATGATCCCATGAACACAGGCACTAGAAAGGAAAGTGACTCAGGAGGCCAGGAAGATGTCAGCAATGAAATCCCAGCTGCATAATCACAAATGATTAAGAACGTAGCTAAAGAGTCTGGTGAAGCTGTTCCACAGTGGCTGCAAGGAGCTCAGATTTCAGGTTATCTCTGAGAATGGAGTGAAGGGCACAGAGCCAAGGGCAAATAGGAAGGAGAGGCCCATCTGAGCAAAAGATGCTGGGAGGGCCTAACATGATAAGGACAACCTGGAGGAAAGGCTGTAGCCCAGTGCTCAGAGCAGAGCAGACAAGAATAGCCCAGTGCTCAGAGCAGAGCAGAAAGAATAGGACTCAGTCACAGGTCTATGTGATCTGTTAGGAGGAATAAGGAAAAGGACACAAATGGAACAGATACCAGAGAATAACAAAGTCCAGAGGTTATTTCAAAGCATTTACAAGATCTCTCCTGGACCTTGTGGACAGGGTGGCAAAATCATAACGCTGATGGAGGTTCTAGTCCCAACATGTGCAACAGGATCATCTGAGAGACAGTGAGGATCCCTAATCTAAGAAAGGTAAAGAATCTCTGCAGCAGATATAGGTCACCAAGAACAGCAGAACTATCAGTATGAGCCCTTGAAAAAGGATGCAGAAAATATAGATTCTTGACTTTTAGAGAGCACAGAAACCTTAATTTATGTCCACTGCTATATTCCCAGAGACTGAAACAGTGCTTGGCACAAAGCAACCCCTCAACAAATGCTTGCTGAATAAATAAATACAAAGAGATAGGGAGATAAAAGATTGCTAAAAGTCAGTAGGAACTAGTTTTTTAAACAAACACACCTTGAAGTAGCCTTCTGGGGATGAGTGGGCAGGCCTGCATTCAGTGATTGCTTTTACAGTAACACCTGGAGGGGAGAGGAGAGTTTTGGGGGAGAGGGACCTTACCTTGTTCCACACCTGATCACTGGCTCCTATCGTGCTCCCCACCGGAGGGTTGACCGCAGCATTGCACACCAGGAAGTCAACACCCCCATAATTCTCCAGGGTCTGTGGGGTGAGGTGGACAAGATGGGTTTGAGTGAGTGTGGAGATAGCAAGAGAAGGCCTCACCTGCCTAGAGCAGCTCAGGTATTAGGGCTCTCAGGCTGAACTTGCTGACCAGGCACTGCCTTTGACTAAGAATGGCCACATGGCTCCTATGAAAACCAAACTCAGGATGAAGAAGAGTGTCCTAACAGGTCGGTAGACATGCTCCCCAGTGCTGAGACTTCAAGGGAGGAAGTTCTTTTCAGAAATCTCACTGAGAGGCTCCCTCATCCCTTTAGACCCCTCCTGAGTATGAGGATGGAATGAATGTCCTCCAGTGAACAGGCCATTTTCCAAAAAGTCATTGTGACTAATCATGTCTGCCCAATTAGACTGGGTCATTATGCTTGTTCTAGAACCTCCCAGCCCTCAGTTCCCCTCTTGTTCCTCCCAGGGCTGAGCAGTGAAGTAAAGGGTCTGTGTGTTCCCCTCTCTGTGTCTTTCCAGCCCTGTGTCCTCTCACCGTGTTCACCAGCTTTGTCCGGTCCTCAGCCTTGCCCACATGGCACACGGTGCCCATCACGCTCAGCCCCTCCTCTCGCAGTGTGGCTACTGCCTGGTCCACATTCTGCTGCTTTCGGCTGCTGATGACAACATGGGCACCATCTTGGGCCAGACGCCGGGCGATGGCAAAGCCAATCCTTCAGGTAAAGATGGAGAAGACATGATAATCTCCAATCTTCTTCTATCCAGCGCAGTGGCCCTTCTATGAGAATCAGGGTCAGCATGAGAGGCCAAGTCACAGGGTACTCACCCATAAGTGGATCCTGTGACCACAGCTACTTTATTGCTCAGGACACCCCGTTGGTGTGTCCCACTGCTGCTCCTCCTTACAGAGACTCCTATACCGAAACGTAACAGGCCCCCGTGGACCCTGGCCACTGCTTGGAGCATGGCAGTCAACACCTGGTCGCCTTCCTGTTGAACTTGGCCCTGAGGGAAAGAATCAATTTCACTTATGATTGATACAACAATTCTGTGGGCGTGGTCATCATCCGTGCCCCCAACTCCTTCCAGACAGACAAGTTCAGCAGCCCAGAGTAGGAGAAAGTCAGCCTGGATATGGTGAATTCCAAACACAAGAGCCCCAGATCAGGAAATATCTCCAGGAAAATTCCTTATTTGTAAAATGGACAAATTAGAATGTGAGACCCACTAACCAGTAGACAAGGATTCCATTTCGTAATTCCTTCAGCAAACTCTGAGCACTTACATCGTGCCAGATAGTGGACAGTAGATGTTACAACACTGTAGTGAACTGAAGATCCAGCCCCACCTTTGGAGCTTCCCTGTCCAGTGGGTATGCCAGTCACCAAACATATAATTACACTAATTTTTTATTTTAATTAGCTGTTTCTAGTTGAAAAAGTAATAATATAAACTTTCATTTACTGTTGGAGAGAGTATAGTGCAACCACTTTAGAAAACAGCCTTGGTATTCTCTGGGGAAAGTGAGAAAACAGTCCTTGGACTGCAGTTTCACACCCTGTAAAACTGTAGTTATATGTGCACAAGAGATGGCAAAAAGTGCTCAGAGCAGCATCCTTTTTGTTGTTGTTGTTGTCGTTGTTTGCTGCCACCAAGTCGGTACAGACTCATAGCAACCTTATGCACAGCAGGATGAAACACTGCCCCATCCTGGGCCAGCCTCACTATTACTGCCACACTTGAGCCCATTGATGCTGCCACTTGGCCAATCCATCTCACTGGGGTCTTCCTCTTTTTCTCTGACCATCCACCTTACCAAATATGATATCCTTCTTCAGCGACTAGTCCCTTCTAACAATACGTCCCAAGTATGAGAGACGAAATTTGGCCATCCTGGCCTCCAACAAACACTCTGGCTGCACTTCTTCCAATACAGATCTCTTGGTTCTTTTGGCAGCCCATGGCACTTTCAATATTCTCCTCCAACACCATAACACAAAAGCATCACTTCTTCTACTGTCTTCCTTATTCACTGTCCAGCTTTCGCATGCATATGAGGTTATTGAAAATACCATGGCTTGGGTCAAGCGCACCTTAGTCCTCAAGCTGACATCTTTGTTCTACAACACTTTAAAAAGGTCTTGTGCAGCAGATTTGCCTACTGTAATACATCGTTTAATTTCTGGACTGCTGCTTCCATGAGTGTTGATAGTTGATTAAAGAAAAATGAAGTCCTTGACAATGTCAATCTTTTCTCTGTTGATAAGAATGTTGTTTATTGGTCCAGTGGTGAGGATTTTTGTTTTCTTTACATTGAGATGTAATCCATACTGAAGGCTGTGTTCTTTGATCTTCATCAGTAAATAGTTTAAGTCCTCTTTACTTTCAGCAAGCAAGGTTGTATTATCTGCATATTGCAAGTTGTTAATGAGTCTTCCTCCAATCCTGATGCCACGTTTTTCTTCATATAACCCAACTTCTTGGATCATTTGCTCAGCATACCGGTTGAATAAGTATGGTGAAAGAATACAACCCTGTTGCACACCTTTCTTAATTTTAAACCATTTAGTGTTCCCAGGTTCTGTTTGAACAACTGCCTCTTGGTCCATGTACAGATTCCTCATGAGCACAATTAACTGTTCCAGAATACTCATACTTCGCAATGCTGTCCATATCTTGTCATGATCCATACAATCAAAAACCTTTGCATTATGAGTTGCTGTGATTCTGAAAGCTATGCCACCGTTATTTTAAATACCAGCAGAATCACCCATGTTGGACAGGTTTCAGATAAGCTTCCAGATGAAGACAGATTAAGAAGAAGGAGTGATGAACTGCTTCTTAGAATTTAGTCACTGAGAACTTATGAACAGCACAGCATCCTTTGGAAGAATCCAAAATTTGAAATAAGCCCAAATATTCATTAACAGTAGACTGGATAAATAAATTATGGTACATGTATATAATGATGGAATACTATGCAGCAAGGAAAATGAATAAATTACAGCTATAATGAACAACATAAATAAACTTTTAAAGAAATCATTCAATGAAAGAAGGCAGACACAAAAGAATTCATATTGTACCTATTGGTCTGATAAAGTCTGGAGGAACTCCTAAGACTATGACCATTAGACACCCTTCAAGTCTGGAACTGAACTCCACCACATGACTCAACTTTCAGCCAAATTATAGGTCTATATGGTGAACAAAACCACCAGAGAGAGGTACACACTCATTACAACAACCAACAACACGAGATCAAAAGGATCTCATTTTCCCAGGGATAAAATTAAGAAGACAGGAAAACATAAAAACTCATCACCATTAAGTTGATTCTGACTCACAGTAACCCTAGATAAGGTTTCCAAAACTAAATCTTTATGGGAAAAGACAGCCTCATCATTCTCCCACTGAGTGGTTGATGCATTTGAACTGTTGATCTTGCAGTTAGCAGCCCAATGCCTAACCCACAACACCAGAGAGAGGAAAAAAATGACAAAGGGAATTGGTTAAACAGGGAGTAAGTGTGGGGATTGCTATCAATGTCACACACATTTAAAAAAAAAAAAAATGTGTGGGAGATGTTTAATTAAAAGTCAATTTGCAAAAACTTAAACAACAACAAAAAACAACTTGCTCTGTAAACTTTCACCCAAATCACAATTTAAAAAAAGAATTCATATTGTGTGGTTCAGCTTTTAACTAAACAACCAAACCAGTTGTCATTGAGTTGATTCAACTCATGGCAACCATATGTGTTACAGAGTATAACTGAGCTCCACAGCGTTTTCTTGGCTGTAATCTTTACTGAAGCAGATTGCCAGGGTTTTCCTCCATGGGACCACCGTGTGGATTTGAACCACCAACCTTTTTCATGAGTGCAATAGTATATGAGTGTAAACCATTTATGTATATACAAGGTTCAAAAACAGTTAAAACAACTATGTTGTTTATGACTGCATACAGGTGACAAAATGACAGAAAAATAAGACAGCGATTGCCTCAAAAGTTACAAAAGTAGGTAATGATTGTGGGTTATGATTGCAGAAGGGCATACCAAGGGACTTCTGGCATACTGACCAAAATAATGGCTGCACAGTTTAACCAGTACCTACCTATACACATATATATATGTGTGTGTGTGTATGTATGTACACACATATATTACATGCACACACATTGCAAAACAATGCAATCCTTTTTTATGGCTTTTCTCGCCACAGTCTTAGAACTCACACTAAAGGATGTAATGAGACTATGCAGAGAGTCTTTGAACAGGAGACTTCCTGGCGGAGTGAAGTGCCTCTAGACTCTTATTGGTGGAGCTACATAGTTTGGTAACACTGACCAAAGTAGAACAGAGGCCTGGGAGGACCAGGGGCACAAGGATCAAGGGAAAGGTCTGCCTGTATGCATGGCCAAAAAACTGTCCTGTTAACTGCCCCAATAAGCCCCATAATTATGTCTATGGTCTATAAATTCTGTGTGGCCATTGCAAGAAGTTACCAGACCAAGCAGAGAAGTAGAGAGTGCCCTGGGAAAGACACCTCGTGTCAGAACTGGTGAGAAATTGGAGGATAGAGATACGTGTAATCTCCACCTCATGAATCCTCCTTGGGCTGATTGATATTCATCTTGATTCTCTCCTCCCCCTTGTGAAGTCAGAGAAGTAAGTCTGCCAGTACTGCACCATGACATTTTTACACACACACATATATATATCATTTCTTATTATGTCCTGTTTCATAACTTAAAAATTTTTTTAAATAAAGAAAGGAAGGCTGCCTGCTCATGGTAATTCTTCAATTCAAGCAGTTCAAAAGGGGATACAATGAAAACTCAGAGGCAAAGTTGCCAGGTAGGATCTCAAATACTTTTTCAGAGATGTTCCAAACAAAGGTTTTGTTTTCAACAAGCTTTCAGTTTATTAATATTTGATTCACAAAAGCTTTCCTAGCAGTGTCTTAACCTTGTAGTGGAGAAAGTGGGGGACCAGGAATGAGAAGACCAACCATACCAGAGTGAGCCCTCTCAGAGCCCAGAGCCCTCCAAGTGCTGGAAGTCTGTGGCTGCTCGGGAAAGTTCAGATCCAGTAGGCTGGGAGAGTCACCTCTAAGGAAGCCATGAATAAGAAGGGCCTGGAAGAATGAGGAGAGTTTTGACATGGAAAGCAGCTGATGCTTAGCCTATGGGGTCAGAATGAGAAAGGCATCAAACACAAAACCCACTGCCATCGAGTCGATTCCAACTCACACTGACCCTACATAGGGTTTCTGAGGCTGTAAATCTTTATGGAAGCAGAAAATCTCATCTTTCTCCTGTAAACCGGCTGGTGGATTTGAACTGATGAACTTGCAATTAGCAATCCATGCTTATCCTATAGTACCACCAGGGATCCCAAGGAAGGCATATTCTTAAGTACCCTTGAGTCGCTTCCAACTATACAGTAACCTGTATAGTGTTTCCAAGGAGTGGTTGGTGGGTTTGAACCACCGACCTAGTGGTTAGCAGTCCAGTGCTTATCTACAGTGCCACTAGGGCTCCCAAGGAAGGCATTGTTGTTGTTAAGTGCCATTGACTTGGTTCCAATTCATAGTGATCCTGTATAGGGTTTTTGAGGCACAACTAGTGAGTTTGAACCACTGAACTTGTGGTTCAAACTGACATTGAAGTCAAGTGCTTATCCTATGGTACCAAGGAAGGACTAGAGCAGCATAAATGTCCTGGGTATTTGAGCAAGGACACCTGTGTGTCTGGAATGCAGAGAACAGAAACACATACATCCCTAAGAAATCAGACTGTGGCTCCACATGCCTGGACAGTGCCCAGCTCCACACTGTAGTGAAGCTACCTGCAGTGAGGTGACAAGGAGCTGGGGCCAGACTGCTGCTGTCGGATTCATGCCCTCATGGCTGCCCTCAGGGACATAAGGGTGAGTCACTGTAGTTAGTGCCAAGGCAGGA